TCGGATCAACCACGTCTCCAGAAGCTCCTTGCACTTTTCAGTGCATACTTCCACATCTCCCGGGCTCATCTTGCGTCTTCGATGGTACACCGGTATCTCACTGTTCGGTTGAATCCGCATCTCGTGAACCTTACACACCCCCAGCTCGTCCGCAGAATGCGAAAAGGTCTTTCGGTGTTGCGGCAATACTTCTCGCAAATCCTCCGCCGCAGACTCTCCTTTCCCTTTACCTATCTGCCATTCCCACTCCGCAGGGATTTTGGCTTCTCCCTTTTTAGCCCCTGGGTCGGTCGGTGTCATTGCCCTTCCGTCTCCTGTCCCCTCCGCTATACCGCTTCCGTCTCAGGATCCTCGGACGGTGCCCCCACTTCCTGCCTGCTTCCTTCTGCTTCCTTGTCTTCCGCGGCCATGAATGCCCATCCTTCCTGTATACGCCCCTCCAGCTGCTCCTCTATCATAGCCAGCTGCCCCTTCCTTCTTTTGGCTTCGCCCTCTTCTTGATGCCTTTTGCTGAATGCGATCTTGCGCTCTATCTCCTTAGTCTTGAGGTGCATCCGGATCATCTCAATCAGCCACGTCATGACAATCAAGTCCATGGCCCTTCCCAGGATTGCCCTCCGCTGCCTTTCGGTCACTGCAAGGTGTGCTATGGCTTGGCACATAAATGGCCCATGGCCGCTTCTCTCTCGGCTGCGGTCGGTTCCTCCCACTTGCGCGTTCGGGTATCAAACTCCATCCCCGACCCCGGCTCTTCCCCTTCCATCACGAATCCACGCGCATTTTCGAACGAGACCAGCGTGGGCCAGGCTCTCCTTGGCTCCCCTGGTACATCACACTGGTACTCGGCCAGATGGTCCAGCATCTTGACTGGGGCCGCCAGCCGGTTGGGTTCCTGCACGTCTTGCACCAACCGAGGATGCGGCCTCTGCATCAGTGCCAGCGAATGCTTCAGGTACGCCTCGAAGACGCCGTTCTGCCAGTACTTCCTCAGCCGATGTTACCGGGATCCCAGTTGCGCGCATCCGCCGGCACTCCCGTTCCCAACACCTCGCATAACTTGGCTTACGTTTCCTTCACCGGTTCCCTCTTGTCGTCCGCCATATCCACATTCTCCAGAATGTACAACATCTCCTCATTTCGCCGTTGGATCAACTCCAACACTCTCTTCAATTCCCGGAAGGAGGCTCCCCTCGGGTCGTTCATCCCCCTGCCTTCCCCTACTACCCTTGGCACTCCCATCCGGCAACCACCAAGTTGATGGGACCCTAGGCCTCCAGCTGCTTAGCGGTGATATCCCTGGCGTCATCTACCGTCGCCTCGTCCTCCGTGGGGATAGCGGTGATCAGCATCTGCTGGGGGTACTCTTCTAACAGCTTCAAGGCGTGATGGCGCACCATGCGCCTCACCACGGGATCCTTTTTCACGTGAATCCATTTCCGGACAAAGCATCCCGCCTTCAGCGCCGCCGCTAAACCCGTTCCAATACCCCCGTACAGCTCTAAGATACACAAGGCGCCCTCCAGGCACCATACTCTGCTGATTCGTTCCTTGAGCAGCGGCACCACCCCCTTCTGCTCGTGGTCCTACACTCTCTTAGCAAACTCCTCCCCGTACCGTTCCCAGGACCAGTCATCCAGGGCTTCCGACAGGTCGGTCTTCTCGGCCCGATATGCGGCCTTAGGTTCCTGCTTCACGAACAGCACGGGCAACGTTCCCACTGAACTCTCCGGGTCCCAGTATTGCACCCGGTAAAGCATCTTCTCCTGCCACGTGCAAATCGATGCCCCCACCTTATAGATCAGCTCCATCTCGACCAGTACATCATAGTCCTCCGACTGGGACACACCGCATTGCACACGAATACAACATTCTTTCTTTGTCCCCGGCTGCAGCACAATATCCTCCGGTCGTTTCGTGCTCGGCATCCACTTGGGGGCCCCGCCTTCTGCCGTCATTAACAGTATTCCCCGTTCCACGAGTCCCTCTGGCGATTCTAGCTTAACTTCTTTGCCAGTCCCTTCCTGATGATCACGTGGTGTGCCCCCGTGACTGTGATCGCTTGCGCTACCGGAAGCCCGCCAACAATCATACTCCCTTTCTCGGCTATGAGTACGGAGGCTTGACTCACCAGGCGTTCATTTGGGTGCCGACGCATCTCGTGGCTGCTGACCTCCTCCCTCGCGGCCTGGCGCCGCAGCCGGCTGGATGAAGTACTGGTCACTTCCGACGCCGACGGTCTCGGCCTGAGGTCCACGTCGCTACGTTCCCTCAGATCGGCCATTAGCGTGTACTCCCAATCCAGCTCCCTCTCGGTCAGCTCCTCTTCCTCTTCGTCGATCGCCAGCATAGCCCGGGTTCCTGCTTGCTGCTTGCTGGCCTTCTCGAGCTGAAGTTTCAGCCTCTGAATCTCCGCTCTAAGATCTTCGGTCGTCGGTTTCGGCTTGTCTCACCGCGAGTAACATTCTTCTGCTCTATGCCCCTTCTTCCCGCAATATTCACACATCGGCTTTAAGGGGCAGTCACGTTTCAGATGCCCCGCCTCTCCACATGTATGACAGCGTCGCGGATCCCCTCTTTCTACAGGCCTCCTCTCCGTCTCTGGTACCGCCGCTGCGGCCCCGCTCGTCCTTGCCCGGGGCTTGCCTTCCCCATCTTCCAGGTCCAGTAATCGCTGCGCATGCTCCGTCCGCTTGGCCAAGCCGTAAACTTCACGCAGCGTCACGTCAGCCCCAATGCCGTACACTGCCGTCCGAACCACCCCTCGCAGATCCTCGTCCATCCTTTTCACGAATTTACGCACCAACACCCGCTCCTCCTGCTACTCGAGATCTTCTGCCAGCTCCTTCAGCCGATTATAATAAGCCAGCAGCGATTCGTCCTTCTTGCATCGGAATTCCTTGAACTCCTCCATTTGTGCGCGGGGTCTGCCCGGCAAACTCCCTCTTCAATAGCTCCATGAACTGTCCGGTGGGGTTATCCGTCCGTCCCTCTGCAACCTCTTCTAGGATCTCCCCTCGCACCATGCGGTAGAACGTCTCCGCTTCTCCCGCCAGGGTCGTGACCATCTTCCGGAAGAACTCCTGAGTGTCATAGCCGTCCCGCTCCCAACAGTATTGGGCGGTCTCGAGCTGCATCACATAATTCTTCAGCAAGGGGCCGACGCCAAGTATGCCGGTGTACCGCTCCGCTACTTCGACGGCATTGATGACGCGTTCCACCTGCGGCCGAGTGGCGCCGGTCCGCTTGCTGGCGCTGGCTCTCCTTCTGCTACTTCGCTGACCACCATTCTCGCTGTTGTCTCGCCTTTGCTGGTCCGGTCGACCGGTCTCTTGCCCAGGTGGAGCTCATCATTCTGGCTTTGTTGTGCATGCCGGGCATAGGTATCGAAGAATCCGGCGCTTCTCGCGCCCTCCATCGTTCGCGTGCCACTTGGGCCCACCGCCAGTCCGCTGGCACCGTGCCCGGATTCGACGTCACTTTCCAGACTCCTTCCGTTCCGCTGCTGGCGTGGCCTCTATCGCGTTGATCCGGCGCCCTGTACGCCGGTGACGCACTGCGGCGGTGGGTGCGGTCGCTCGACGCAGTTGACACTCCTTCCCTGGTTCTTGCTTCCGCGCTCCAACCCGGCGTCGCCTGCATCGTCTTGTTCTCTACTCGAGCGTAACTGTTTCCTGGCCTTAACTCTAAGTGTTGCGCCATGCTCAGCTTTTTGCTTGTTTGTAATCAACTCCTTGCATTACATGGACAGGAGGTTCTACTAAGCTCGGCTGACTGATACTATTGCTTGGCTCTTCTGGGCCTGAAGACGACTAGTGTTAATGAATTGGACCTTGTGAAGAAACAAACAAGCAAACATGCAGTTGTAGGGTTTCCGTTCCTATATACCAGGTTCGGTTATCGTTTTGACCAGCTGTTCTGTTCGCCCGCGTGAGCCTAAGTCCCCGCGGTGTAATTCACCGATGCGTCCGTTGCCTAATTCGCTACAATCTGCACCACTTCAGTCTCCCGTCTAAGCATTTATATAATTCCAACTTATGAAATGTATTCTATCTCATCAATATAAATTGAGTGACATAATAAATAATTTTTATTATTTGAATAGTAGATAAAAGCGTATACAATGTGATTTTTTTTTAACTCTCATGATTGAACTACTTTAATTGGTTGTCACTCAAAGAAAGTTATGTTCTCTTTTTCTGTAAAGTTATTGGTGTGCTGCAAACTACTGAAATCCCACTTATTGGGTGATACTGATATTCACTAAAAGCACTTTGACCACGACGCTGACTCAAACACACCTAAGCGACAGTCAACAGTGCCACGCCGACTTTCCACTCTTTTCTTCTCTTTCCGACCCCCTTCTCGCCATCTCATAGTCAAGCAAGGCACCAATGTTTGCTACTGTAGTGGCAGAAGAGGCGATGGATGCGGAAGTACAAATAGCGAGCTTGCAGGACGCATTCCTCACAGCAGCGCTGCCTCTAGGCCTCTTTTCACGCTGCGGCAGTCGATCTCCCTCGGCCATTTCAGCAGCATCGCTTAATCGGCTCCAAGTCAGATCCCCATCGGCCCGCTGTTATCTCATTCGCTGCCGCGCCACTCCCAAGCGCCTCTCCTCTTTGCATTCGCCTCGCGCCATCGTTCGGATCGAAATAAAGACCGACTTGTTGCATCTGTGACACTATGCTAAGCCTTTTCTAAGTTAGCGCGATTCAGTGTTACGCGCCGCCCGCCATGATGGCACCCCTCCACGCCTCGTCCCCGCCCTCGCGCTCGTTGCGCTGCTCTGCTTCGTGCGCATCGATCAGGCCGAGTGCAACGCGCGCTCGTTTGGCCTTCCGCGTATTGGGGGAAGGCTCGGCGGTTTGGTGGGGGGATCGGGGATAGGCGGCATCTGGTCCTACTTCCGTCCCCCTGGGACCGGTGGCGGCGGCGGAAGTGGCGCGACGAGCGGTGGGCAGAACGGGTAGGGCGGGTTAGGCTCGCATGGAGGTGGCGGAATGAGCGGACAACTGCGTAGCACGAGCAGAGGAGACATCAGTGGAGGAGGCACGGGGGGAGGAGGCACGGGGGGAGGAGGCACGGGCGAAGGAGGCATGGGCGGAGGAGGCATGGGCGGAGCGGGCATGGCCGGAGGCATGGGCTGTAACGGATCTGCTAATTAGAAGGGCATTTACCCATATATAGATAGGTTCAAGTACAAAACATAGCAGCTCCTGAATTTTACTAAGTCTGAAGAGTGCTGGGAGATGCAGTAACAAACTCTGGAAGGTAACTTGTGAGAGAGCAATCCTATTTCCTGATTGATTAGTTGGGGATAGGAAATGGAGAATGAGCTTGGAAGGCTCAGACCCCTTCTTAAATCCCCTTGGGGTGCAGCCACCTTCCCCAAGGCAAGGAAGGGTGCACCACCATGGGCCTTGCCCATGTGGCAAAGGTTGATCCTTTTTACTCAATGACATGGCACAAACAATGGAATAAAATGCTATGTATGCGATATGTTATCCATACCTGTCATGTTTTAACTGGTGTAAATTCCAACGCAAGGGTTGAGTTGGACTTTGAATGTTGTGATAGGCTGTAATTCCAACCAGCGGCAGGAGCTCCGTCAACTCACTTTGTATAAAAGTGTTCCGATTGGTTGGCTTGCCAACCAGTTCGTTTCCCCGCTTCCAACCAGTTCGTTTCCCATTCCTCTTCCCAACCCAGGTTCAATGTGTCGAGACCTTGGGTTGGTTGGGAATCCAGATGTTACATGGGCGGACCAGGCACGGGCGGGGGAGGCATGGTCGGAGGAGGCACGGGCGGACCAGGCATGGGCAGACCAGGCATGGGCGGACCAGGCATGGGTGGAGCAGGCATGGGCGGACCAGGCATGGGTGGAGCAGGCATGGGGGGAGGAGGCATGGGCGGAGGAGGCATGGGCGGAGGGGGCATGGGCGGAGGAGGCATGGGCGGAGGGGGCATGGGCGGAGGAGGCATGGGCGGAGGAGGCATGGGCGGAGGAGGCATGGGCGGGGGAAGCATGGGCGGAGGAAGCATGGGCGGGGGAGGCATGGGCGGAGGAGGCATGGGCGGAGCGGGCATGGGCGGAGCGGGCATGAGCAGACCAGGCATGGGCGGAGCAGGCACGGGGGGAGGAGGTATGGGCGGAGGAGGCATGGGCGGAGGGGGCATGGGCGGAGGAGGCATGGGCGGAGGAGGCATGGGCGGAGGAGGCATGGGCGGAGGAAGCATGGGCGGAGGAAGCATGGGCGGGGGAGGCATGGGCGGAGGAGGCATGGGAGGAGGAGGCATGGGCGGAGGAGGCATGGGCGGAGCGGGCATGGGCGGACCGGGCATGGGCAGACCAGGCATGGGCGGAGCAGGCACGGGGGTAGGAGGCATGGGCGGAGGAGGCATGGGCGGAGGAAGCATGGGCGGAGGAAGCATGGGCGGGGGAGGCATGGGCGGAGGAGGCATGGGCGGAAGAGGCATGGGCGGAGCGGGCATGGGCGGACCGGGCATGAGCAGACCAGGCATGGGCGGAGCAGGCACGGGGGGAGGAGGCATGGGCGGAGGAGGCATGGGCGGAGGATGCATGGGCGGAGGAAGCATGGGCGGGGGAGGCATGGGCGGAGGAGGCATGGGCAGAAGAGGCATGGGCGGACCAGGCATGGGCGGAGCAGGCACGGCGGGAGGAGGCATGGGCGGAGGGGGCATGGGCGGAGGAGGCATGGGCGGAGGGGGCATGGGCGGAGGAGGCATGGGCAGAGGGGGCATGGGCGGAGGAGGCATGGGCGGAGGAGGCATGGGCGGAGGAGGCATGGGTGGCGGGTCATCGGGTGGGAGTGCGTGTGGCAACAGCAGTAGCAGCAGGAGCGCCAAGCTCACGAGCAGCAACGGCAAGAGGTGTGCCGAGTCCCCATGCCTGCCATACTCCTTGCCTCCTAACCCCAAAACCGCTTCATTTCATGCACACTCAAGGCATCCCCACCCCTCATCACTTCCCTTCGTGCATGTCCGTCTGCCCCTCATGTCTCCTTTCCCCCCTGTCCCCCTGCGCTTCTCCCCCTTTGTTCCCCCGGCCCCATTGCCTAACCCTTCAACCCCATGACAGAGTGATGACCAGCAATGGGTGCCCGGGGTACGAGTGGCGGGTGCAGGGCATGGTGAACACGCCAGTGCAGCAGACTCTCTCCTTCGCCGTGCCGCTCGCCCCCACGCTCGCCTCCTCCGCCATCCCTGTCTCCGTGGGCGGCTGCAAGATGGGGCCCATCGGCTTTGCACTCAATGGTGAGCCCTTCTACAGGTGGGTTTGGAGTGTTTCACGTCGGTGCAGCGCTCTTCATTGCCATTCGTGTCCAGCGTCAACTCCTCATCCCCATCCTCGTGCCAGCGGGCCTCTATGGCCGTGCATTGTGGCGGCGAATCCCCCTCCACACATCATCACCATTTCCCACCGTGCCCTCCTGCCCGCAGTGCATGCGACGCCCAGGGTAGGGACGCCTTGAAGTACGAGGGGCCGAGCTTTGACACGTGTGGGGGGCACCCGTCCCCCTTCGGCCAGTACCACTACCACGTCGCACCTGGCGTCGCCAACCCCTCTGCCATCTCCACCTCTCGCACCACCGACTTCCAGCTCTGCGGGTTCGTAAGCTGCTCCATGCCTCCATGCCTGCCCCTCTGCCACTCACACACTGCTGCCAGTTGTCCGCAACTTTTTGCTCCTTCCATGCTGAACCATGCTTCGAGCCGGCGTTTCCATCATCCCGCGCTGCCTCATACCATGCATAATCATGCCATCTCCATGTATTCTCCCCATACACCATGCCACGCACCAAGTCATTCCACGTGTCATGCACCATCCCTTGCATCCCACCCACCCAACCCAACCCCTCTTCCCTCTCCCCTCCCTTGCGCACCCATCGCAGCGCCGCCTTCTGGCAGGACACCCGCGGCGAGCACTCCCCGCTGCTGGGCTTCCTAGCAGACGGCATTCCCCTCTACGGCCCGCGCGGAGCAGGGGGAGAGCTGCCCTCGGGGGTGGACGAGTGCGGGGGCACGTGGGAGACGGCAGTGGGGGCGAGCCTTTGTTCTACCACTACCACGCGAGCAGCACGGCGCCCTACACCGTTGCTTGCCTCAAGGGCTGCGTCAAAATCCTCTGACTGGGGCAACGTGGGCTCCGCCTCCTGCACCCACGCCACCAGTGAGTGGCAGGGGGTGTGAGTGGCAAGAGCTGTGAGCATTTCCAACTGGTAGCTTGTCAACCACATCAATGCCCCACCCACTGTCTCTTGCCAGCCTGGTTGGCTGCTCTCCACTCCTTCAAGCTCAACGCCATGCCAGCTGACACGTGTCACGTGTGACGGCACTGCAATTCGGGCACATGGGAGGGTGATTAAGGTTGCATGTTGTCAAATGACTGTTAGAAAATTTGCTGGCGTGCCTAAGGGTGCGTTCCTGCCTCATATCGAGCCACCCTGTGTCAGTGACTGGCTGTATTGAGTCCCACATGCGGTGGTTGACGCGAGGTAGGAACGTAGCCAGTGTTAGTAGGTAATAGTTAGGTGTGCCTTCGTCGATCAGCATAGTTTGCCTAATATGCAACTCATTGTAGCCTACCCAATATATATAAACATAGTTTGACATCAACTTATGACAGTCTGCAACTGTCTAGCCCTGCACGAATTCGTTACCGCAATGCGAAATCGTTGGGATCAACCGCACAACAATATGCACATTCAATCGGTTCCAATAGGCCCCTCGCTAGCAGGGTAAAACGTTTGATATTCAGGGTGTGTCTAGGGGTTATGCCCTGGAATTTCAGGACAGTGCTGGTCTCCACCCCGTAATTTCAAGTTGTGTATAGGGTGTGCCAAGACGTTTTTGTATGTTTTGCCCTGAATTGTCAAAAGTTTCTTGACGAGGATACGCTCCTTGCTCATATGTTCGAGATGGTGGGGGAGGAGGGGGATGGGAGACGAGGGAAAGGCCTATGTTTCCCCATAAGCTTTTCTTCGGCTGGTCGAGTGTAAACAAGTGTGTCAAGAAGAGGAGGTGTGATTACTGTGGGCACCGCACATGTTCAGCTATATTTCTCAGCCTAACAGATCGCATACTCGTTAAGACAATCAAAATGGCTCTTGAGTATGGCTTTCAGGAATCAGCTCTTGCAACGCTCGGCCGTGTATCCATGCAATATCTTCCTCAGTACTACCAGCATCAGGCAAACCACCCTCACCGGCACTACCATCAGCAGCTGACTCCCCACCAAGGAAACCATCAACCTCCAAATGCAACAAATCAATACTCACAGCCTCCCCTTGTGCCCCCTCCTCTCTTTCCAAAACCTCTCCCGGGGATGCTTCTTGTAGCGAGGCATCTCTTAGTGAAGCGTCTTGCATCAAGCCATCTCTGGCAAGTGCGGAGCGCAGAGAGGCCTCTGCAGACTGGCCAGTGTGGGAGAGCATGCGGGAGAAAGGGCCCTCTCTGTCTTCCGCCAGCTGCTGTGGCCATCCAAACTGCACCACCCGGCCCTGCTCCAGCACAAGCACCTGGGAGAGGCCAGTGGATGGCAACATCAAACAAGGGCATGCTAGGACATGCTTATTTACTGCATGTCGCCATCTGTAGGGCGTGCCAACAACAGTGCGGGCAGAAGCGAACTCTTACCCGCCCCCCAAACCCCCTCCCACCACCCCCACCCTTTCCCCCCCCTCCCCCTCACTTCCCCCTCATCTGCCCACCTCTCTTCTCTCTGCAAACGCCATGGCAGGCATCTCACATTGTGCGCGTGGACAATGGTGTGCAGGCGGTGGGCGATGGTGATGACCGTGCTGGCCGCAAAGTGGCGGCGGATGGTGCTCTGGATGGCCGCGTCTGTCGCCCGGTCCACGTTGGCCGTTGCCTCATCCATCAGCACAATGCGACTGCCGTGCAGCACGGCACTGTCACAGGGCAAGGAGAGGGGGAGGGGGGAGGGGAGGAAGGGGAGGAAGGAAGCGGAGAAGTAGGAGGTTTCAGAGGTCGCACTATGCTGGCTGCTATGCCTGGCAGAGCGCACGGGTCAAGTCAGAGCACAGAGTTGGGGTGTCGGGGTTACTCAGTGGGCGAGGTGATTGTAAGAGCTTGAACTGAAAGGATTGATCAAGGAGCTAAAGGCTTTTAAGTACATCAAGAATGAGATGGAAAAGATAGGAACGGACTGTGGGAAAATCCTCAGTGAGATCAACTGAAATGCTAATATGGTTGTGATTTTATGTAACACCCATCGCACAAAAATACGTCTATGTGAAAAGTAGGCAAGTGCGAGATTGTATTCGATCATTAACAGTGCAGAAGAGGAGAAGGGGGACGAAAGGAGGGAGGTGGAGGAGGGGCTTGGGATGAGAGCTGTTGTCAGTGGATACAGGACTTTTCTTAGAATTCTGAAACATTGCCGCAAAGGCTCCAATTGCCATGTATACAAGCATAGGCCCATGCACACGCATCACCTCTCATGCCCCACAGAAAAGTCTTTCCCGAAGCCCCCATCCTAAGCCGCCCTCAGCAGTGCACAGCAGCACAGCAGCCCACCCACCCACCGTGCGAGGCACAGGAGCTGGCGCTGCCCCACGGAGAAGTTCTCTCCGAACTCGCTCATGCTCGCCTCCAGCCCGCTCTGCAGCGCGCCCGCCTTCCCCTTCAGCTGCACTGCGCCCAGCGCCTCCCATAGCGCCGCATCCGGGTGCTGGCTGAGAGGGGTTGACAGGGGTTAGGGTTCGGGATGGGCAGTCGGCTGTGCGTGAGAAAATAGTACAAGGAGCAGAGACAGCCCCCTCTGCAGAGTCCCCACACCCCTCCCCTTGCCCCTCAGCTGCACTACGCCTGGTGTCTCCCATAGATCTCCATGCGGGTGCTGAGGAGGAAGGATGAAAGTACAAGGGTCAAGAATTGGGTGTGAGATGGGGGAGAGTGGTGCAGGGGCCTCTCAGCTGCACACTGCGAAGGGCTCAAAACAGCCCCCTGGGGAGGCTAATAGGCAACCCTTGTGTCAGCTCCAATGCCTTCTTTGCAGGGCCCCAGGCTTGCCCTTAAGCTGCTACACCCCTTCCCTCCACTGCGACCTATCTATGGCGCCGCATTTGAGTGCCGACTGGACAAGGCGCATTTTGAAGGGGTTAGATGTGACAAAAACGAAGTGGTGACAAAGAGAAGAGCAGAAGAGGACCGTGGCATATGAGTGAGCACTTGAGATAAAGACACGGGGTGGGTGGGTTGCAGGAAGACTGGGACGCACTTGAATGGGTCAAGGTTGAACCGGAGAGAGCTGCCAAAGAGAACAGGATCCTGAGGTATCGCTGTGACCTGTTCATTGTGCAGGGCGAGATGGAGGGCAATGGGAAGGAAAAGGGATGGGAGGTAGGGCGAGAGGAAAGCAAATTGGCATTATAATAAGGAAGGAGGGAGGAGGGAGGGAGGGAGGGAGGGAGGGAGGGAGGGAGGGAGGGAGGGAGGGAGGGAGGGAGGGAGGGAGGGTGGCAGGGAAGGGTGGCAGATGGAGTGAACGGTGCAGAGATTGTTGAGTACTTGGACATACGAGATAAGAGAAACGAAGAGACGGGTGGTGCAAGAGATCCTAAGGGAATCAAGAAATCGCTAGAGGGAAATAGGATGTTGCTTATGCCAACCTAGATTCAGTCTACAAATTACTTTTCAACTCGAACTGCCCACTGTCGTAACGGAGGCACGTCCGTGCTTGGAAACTGACCTCACGCACTCCGGCACATTCCATCTCACGCACATGCATGCGAGCGACGGTGGAGTCAAGTGAAAGCACCCGTGGGGGTGGTGTGGTGTGGGGTGGGGTGGGAGCAGCATCAGAGGGAGTGCAAGCACACGCACGTTTCTGCGCAGGGGAGTGAGAGGTATGGTGGCGGTGTTGAGGCCGTCTATGAGGATGCGCCCGCTGCACGGCTGCACGATGCGGAGCAGGGCCAGCATGAGCGTTGACTTGCCTGCGCCTGATGGTGGGCACGGAGTGGAGGTATGCCGAGGGGGGTGCGGACGATGGGGAAGTAAGAAGAGGGTAGGAGGGAGCGACATGTGTACCAGTCTACCAGAGCCCGCTTCATGAACAGAGAAACCATTTTATTGCACTGCCACGTGAATCACCACCACCACGCCGTGCCCTGATAAGTGGCAATCACAGCACACAGCACCATCAATGGGTAGCTGGCACGAGCAGCAGTGCTCACCGGTTCGCCCCACAACACCGCACTTCTCCCCTCCGCGCAGCTGAAAGCTCACATCCTGCAACACAGGGTCCAGAGTGGGCCTATACCGCACTGTCAACCCCTCCACCCTCACTGCCCCTTCTCTCGGCCACCCAGCTGGCACCTGCTCCTCCACCTGCTCTTCCCCGCTCCCCTGCTCGCTTTCCTCCTCCCTCTGCTCCTCGCCCACCATGCAAAAGCCCCTTTTCCATTTCCTCTTGCTGCCCGTTTTTCCTCCTCCCCGTTCCCCTGCTCCCCCCTCCCTCTGCCCCTCCTCAGGCCCCTCCTCCTGCGGTAAGTGTGTGTACTCCAGTGCCCGCTCGACGCCTGTAAACTGAGGAGAGTGAGTAACAAAGAGAAGGACGGGAGAGGAAAGGTGGACGCCGTGATTAGATGAACACACGTGTCAAAAGGGATGCATCAGGGATGCCTGAGTTGGAACGCCTGACGCCTGTGACTTGGAAACGGGAAAGAAAGACTGAGAATAGGTAGCGAGGGAGAGTGTGGGGACTCGCTCAAAATGCCTTATGCCTCATGCACAGGAGGGTCACAAAACGAACATCAGGAAGCAGTCTGTCTGTCTGTCTGTCTGTCTGTCTGTCTGTCTGTCTCACCACGTTCTCCACCTCCGCTCCTTGTATGAGGAGGAAGACGAACGAGACAGGGAGAGGAAGCAATGTACTGAGAAGGAAAAGGAGAGAGGAGCAGTGAGTCTCACCATGTTTTCCACCTCCGCCCCTTGCCTCACGGCCCACTGCAGCGACCCCGACATCTGCAGCGCATAGCTCAGTGCCAGCGCCACCAGGCTGGGCGGCAAGGCCGTTCTGAGCGCCACGGCGAGGGCGGCAACGAGGAGCATGACGAGTGAGACAAGGGCGTCGAGGCGCACAGCCAGCCAGTGCGAGGCGGCGAGCCAGCAGTAGAAGGCGCGGCCGTTGGCGTCCAGCAGGCGGTGGAAGACGGCGCTTGTCTGCTGCTGCGCTCCGAATGCTCTTATTGTTGCCAGGCCCTGTGGGCGACATGGGGGAACGGGGGCGAACAGATAGGAGGTGGCATGGATGGAATGGCATGACAGGGGGGGGGAGGGCCAGCACGTGCGAGGCCGCAAGCCAGCAGTAGAAGGCACGGGCGAACGCCCTGATGGCTGGCAGGACCTGGAATGGGAGGAGGGGGAAGGGGGCAGAGAGGAAGAAGGTTCACTTGTGCATCAGAGGAGAGGCGAGGGAGCGAGAGGAGGCGAGCAGCACAGAGCAGGCGCCGGCAATGTCTTGTCGGGGTACGAGCAGGTGGTGGTAGCTTGCACTGCACTGCTGCTGCTCTTCACACGCTCTCACCATTGTCTGGCCCTGGGAACAAGGAAATGGCAAAGGAAGACGAATAAAGCAGTGTGGCGGGGACGGGGTGACTGCTGCCTACAAACCTGTATTCTGCTTGCTTGCAGACCCACCTGGATGGTGGCGGCATAGTGCGCATACACAGGGCTGCGAGTGATGGCCTCGAGGCGCTTGGCCTCGCGGGAGGTGCAGAGGAAGATGTGGCGCAGGCGCAGGAAGAGCAGGCAGAGCAGCGCCATGGGCACGAGCATCCACGGCAAGCCCAGCGCCACCATCGCCATGGCGCCCACTGCCACACTGAGGGTCTGTGTGTGCGCCGAGGAGAAAACGGATAGGAAGGACAAGGACTTGTGTTGTGTCAGCTCAAAAGCCCAGATGCGAGTGAGCACGTGGCCAGAGGCGTTACTTTTAAGTCGTTACACCCACACAGCACCCCGCCCCCGAAGTCCACATCATATGGCGTACGCACCTGCAAGTAGTTGAAGAGAGTGAACGGCAGGAGGTCGTCGAGAATGCCCTGATCGGCGGAGAAGCGGTTGAGGATGCGGCCCATGGGGTTGGCGTGAAAGAAGGCGAGCGGCGAGGCGAGCACGCGGGCCAGCATGGCGGTGTGGACGCGCGAGGCGGCGCGCACGCACCAGTGGAAGGAGAGGGCCGCACGGAGGAAGGAGACGGCAACTCCGGTGAGCACAAGTGTGGTGTAGATGCGGCGGTACAGGCCGGACTGGTGCTGCTTCTGTGACCAAAAGGCGAGGAACCTGTGAGACATGGGGATCATGAGATATGGGATCATGAGATATGGGGATCATGAGATATGGGGATCATGAGATATGGGGATCATGAGATATGGGGATCATGAGGCATGGGGATCATGAGGCATGGGGATCATGAGGCATGGGGATCATGAGGCATGGGACATGGGACATAGACATGAGGCATGGGACTTGTTGTTTGTGTAGCATGTGTTTGCATCCACCTTTGTACCACCCCATAAGTAATGCAAGGGCCATTCGAGAGAGAGAGAGACAGAGGGGACTGACCAGTCGCTAGCACAGGCGAGGGATTGACCAATGGCGAGGAGGAGGAAGAGCAGAAGCGACTGCCACACGCCCACCCTCCTGGCATATCCAACGTACACGCCCGGACTCACCATCCCCTCCTCCCTCCGTTCCTTCTGCACCAACCCTGGTTGAACGAGAGGGGTGAGGGCGAGGAAGCATTGGAAAATAGAGGGAGGGAAACGAGGAGAAGAGGAGGTTAGCGCGGAATGTGATGAGGGGCTAGCATGCTGATTTGGGGCTGAAGTCTCTAAGGCACTTGGATGTTCATGACGGTGTGAGAGCCGTCATCTCCTCCTCATCTTCACACTCACACGCTCCTCTCTAGCCCACGCTGTAACCTTAACACACCCCCAACACCCACAGCCCCCTCACACTAACTCCCCGCCACACTCCCTCCTCAACAACCCCACCAGCCCACCTTGTCCGACTCCATCCTCCTCTGCCACTTCACTGCATTTCCCCCCCTTCCCATCCCCTCCTGCCCCTGCCTCTCCACCCACCTCCTCCCCCTCTCCGCCACGGTCCGCCCCCTCTGTCTCCCTTGGTTGCCTGTGCACGAAGCTTCCCATGATGCTGCAACTGAGAGGCATCTTCCCGCCTTCCCTGCTGTGGCGGAGCGACCGGTCCTGCAGGGGCGTACTGCGTTGGTTGGGCCGCAGCGGCAACGCCTGGAGGGTTGGGTCGTCGCGAGCGGAGGGAGCAGCGGTGGATGTATGTTGGGTGTTGTTGCTTCCTGGTGCTGCTGCTGCTGCTAAGGATGCTGCTGGTTCTGATGCTGGTGGTGTTGCAGTGGGGATGACATAACTACCAATGACTGCCGACCTCCAGTCTTCTTCAGACATGTCCTTGCTCTCAATTGACCCTTTCACACCAGCATCATCATCATCAGCAGAGCTGTCGTCATCATCACTATCCTCTTCCGCTGTAAACCAGCACCGTTGCTGCAACTTCGCCCCAGTTTCCCCCACTCGTTCCTGCTCCCCTCCTCCTCCTCCTCCTCCTCCTCCTCCTCCTCCTCCTCCTCCTCCTCCTCTTCCTCCTCCTCCTCCTCCTCCTCCTCCTCCTCCTCCTCCTCCTCCTCCTCCTCCTCCTCCTCCCTCTCCCCCTTCTGCACCACCAACAGCCTTCTCTCCTGCGCCCACGACCTCCCCTTCCGCCTCACCCCCCTCGACCGCATCCCCGCCCAGCAGCCCCTGGAAGTCCACCTGCCTTGCCAATGCAGCGTACGGACACAAGGCCGCTGGCGTTCCCCCTTCCAGCACTAACACTCGGTCACAGCTGGGGGAGCGGGGGATGGGAAAGGTTGGGTTTGAGGGGGTTGGGTGGAGAGAAAAGGGGGTTGGGGGATTCGGGAGGAGAGCAGAAGCGGGAGAGGGTTTCGGGGTTTGGAGGAAGAGCAGAAGGGGAAGGGAAAGGGGGCCTGGACAGCGTTCAAACGGGTTTTCATATGAGAGGAAAAGCATCCAGCGCCTGGAAGCTGGCATACAAATGCTGGTCGCGTGCACTCCAGACCACGGTAACAACAGTTCTTTCTAGATTGCACAGATTAATGCAGCTGGTGTGTCATAACAGTCCACAGAGCTTACGAGGCAAGCCACACGGCCACAAGTGAGCACGCACATGCAACTACCACACGCAAACCTTGGTGGTAACTCCAACCATCCCAACCCAACCCATCCCCACCCATCCCCAACCCTCACCTTGGCAGGTACTGCAGCTGGTGAGTGACGAGAATCCTTGGCCGCCCGCGCATCACCCCGCGAATGCACCGCTCAAACAGGTGCCGCCCCACAGCCGGGTCCACAGCGGAGAGCGGGTCGTCCAGCAGCAGGAGCGCTGCATCGGTGGCGTATGCGGCGCGCGCCAGCCCCACTCTCGCCCTCTGCCCGCCGCTCAGGTTCACCCCGCGCTCGCCAATCTCTGTGAGGTCGCGCCGGGGCCAGCTGGCGATGTCCTGGCGCAGCGCACACGCGTCGAGCACCTGTGGGACGGGAGGGGAGGGTGGGGGGGTGGGGGGGGGAGAGGGGAGTGTGTGTGTCTGTGGAAAGTGGGGGAGGCATTGTGCAGAGCGTGCAAGGGAAGAAGAATTCTCAAGTGTGCACAGGAAGCTACACCCTCCGTGTACTGGATGTGGTTTGGGCGATGGATGAACACAGGTGTATCTTACGCGGGCGTCAGTGTAAAGAGATGAGAGAGGGGAGGAGGGGGGAAAGGTGGGAGGAAACGGTAAAAAAAAACACTCATGTCACTTGACTCATAAATGGTATGGTTGACTCATGAATGGTGTGGTTGACTCATGAATGGTATGGTTGACCCATGAATGGTATGGTTGACTCCTGAATGGTGTGGTTGACTCATGAATGGAATGGTTGACTCATGAAAGGTATGGTTGACTCATGAATGGAATGGTTGACTCATGAAAGGTATGGTTGACTCATGAATGGTGTGGTTGACTCATGAATGGTATGGTTGACTCATGAATGGTGTGGTTGACTCATGAATGGAAAGGTTGGCTCATGAATGGTGTGGTTGACTAATGAATGGTATGGTTGACTCATGAAAGGTATGGTTGGCTCATGAATGGTGTGGTTGACTCATGAATGGTATGGTTGACTCATGAAAGGTATGGTTGACTCATGAATGGTGTGGTTGACTCATGAATGGTATGGTTGACTCATGAATGGTGTGGTTGACTCATGAATGGAATGGTTGACTCATGAATGGTGTGGTTGACTCATGAATGGAATGGTTGACTCATGAATGGTATGGTTGACTCATGAATGGTGTGGTTGACTCATGAATGGAATGGTTGACTCCTGAATGGTGTGGTTGACTCATGAGTGTTATGGTTAACTCATGATTGATATGGTTGGCTCATGAATGGTATGGTTGACTCATGGTTGTCAAAGCTAGAAAATAGGAGTGCTGGAGGGGCGGAGAACGAGGAGAGAAATAACTATGGTAGGGAAGAGAGGAGTGTATGACGTGAAACGGAATATATTGGAGTAGAGGGTATGGTTGGAAGGGAAAATTGGGAGATTGTGAGGAAAAGGAGCAAGCGCTGTGGGTCACCTGATTGTAGAGCTCTGCTTGGAATGGACGGCCGAAGATGATGTTGTCCTTCAGTGATCCGGCCATGATGAACGGCTGTGCGCCACACCATACCACGCCCGAACCACACAAACAGGAAGCACACAAAAGATAATACACGTGTTGTTACGTTGACACACAGACGTCAGCAAAGCATGTCAGTAGACACACAGACGTCGCCAAAGCATGTCTGGGGACTTGTGCTGTCTGTGCATAGATGTCAGATGTCACAAGCCCCACCTTCTGTGCACCATACGCTAGCGAGACTTCTCAAAACCGAACCATTTCAGCACGTCTCCACACACGGGCATGATGTGCAGAGAGCACGGCCCACAGATCGTGACACTCTCATAAGCATGCCCATGCCCACGGTCCCACCTTCTGTGCCGCATATGCTATCTTGTCCGCTTGACACACCAGCTCTCCCTTCAGCAGCTCTGCATCGCCCAGTATACCCGCCAACAGCGTCGACTTGCCCGCTCCCACCTGCTCAGACAAAAAGGGAATGAAACACGGGCAGGGAGGAAACGAATCAAGGGGCAGGGAGGGAAAAAACAAGGGCGGCAAGGGAGCAAGGAGTTTTGAGTCAAGAAAACCGAGTCCCCAAGACGGTGCCGAGTAGTGCATTTTGTAAGACACCGTAGAGAAGTATTGCGAGAACTTCATAAGGTGCCGATGTAGTATGGAGGAAAGGAGACAAAACAAAGAAAACAACAAAATGTAAATGAGGCTGGAGGCATCTTAAAACCTGAGATATTAAAATATAGAGGAACGGAGGTCCAAATAGAGGAAAGAGAAAAATGAGGAAAAAACAAAGGAGTTCGTGAGGAAATACAGGATAACCGGAAGGCACAAAACGCATACAACCCAAAACGCATAAGACTCTTCTCTTTTCAACACCAGCCACCGCTCCTCCTCTCTTCACCTCCCCCTCTCACTCTTACCCCCCCTCAAAAGGCCTTGCTTTTAGCGCCCAGTGCTCACCTTCCCTGTGACGCCCAGCAGCTCGTCCTCTCCCAAACTGAAGCTCACACCCTCCACCGGTACCACCTCCTCCTCCTCCTCCTCCTCCTCCTCCTCCTCCTCCTCCTCCTCCTCCTCCTCCTCCTCCTCCTCCTCCTCCTCCTCCTCCCACTCCTGCTCCTCCTCCATCTCCCCTTTCATCTCCCCATTCATCTCCCCATTCATCTCCCCTTTCATCTCCCCATTCATCTCCCCTTTCATCTCCCCCTTCAAATCCCCCTTCACATCCCCCCTACCACTGCCACTACTGTCATCCGTGCATGGCTCCTTGCTCATCCCCTTGCCAGCTGCCGCCTCCCTCCCTGCAGCACCCACTCTCCATCCAAACGAGGCGTTCACCATTGCACACACACTCACCCTCCCTCCCTGCACCTGCTCTGTACCCTCGCCAGCAGTATCAGCAGCAGGAGGACGGATGGAAGCAGCAGCAGGAAGAACAGCAGCAGGAGGAGGAACAGAAAAAGAAGCAGGAGGAAGAGGAGAAGCTGCTGTAGAGAGATGTGGTGCTATTGCAGCCCTCTCCTGTTCCTGTGCCAGCATGACATTCCCTATCGATCCCTCGTCCCCCTTTCCCCATCTGGTGCTTGTGTCCTTGTCACTAAGTGATGATACCAAAACTGCTACCTTCTTTTTGCTGCTACTGCTTGATAGCTGATATGGCAATGCAAGCCGGAGGGAGAAGAAGTGGACAACGCAGAAAGGAAGGAGAAGGTGGACGTATGAGCAGGGAAACCCCAGCTTTGACGCCCTGTGCGGGGGAGAGCAGATGGTTGGGCAAATGGAAAGGCGGAGGAGCGAGAGGTCGGGAGGGAGAAGAGCAGAGATAGATCTCCTCCCTCCATGTATGTGAGAAGAGCAGAGATAGATCTCCTCCCTCCATGTATGTGAGAAGAGCAGAGATAGATCTCCTCCCTCCATGTATGTGAGAAGAGCAGAGATAGATCTCCTCCCTCCATGTATGTGAGGAAGCTGAATCGCGAGTCTGATGGTCGAGACGGGGAGAGAGAAAGTCGTTTGATACAGGAAATACGAATAGCTGTGTTCGCAGCCGGAGAGGTTTTCCACCCATGTGCCCAAATGACCATGTCCCATGCTCATGCCCTTGCCCTTACGCCCTTGGCCCTGCCCACACGCCCTTTCCCTTGAACTTATGCCCTTGCACCCATGCCCTTGCACCCATGCCCTTGCACCCATGCCCTTGCACCCATGCCCTTGCACCCATGCCCTTCCACCCATGTCCTTCCACCCATGCCCTTCCACCCATGCCCTTCCACCCATGCCATGCCCAACTCACCCACGCCCTGCCTCTCACCCGCATGAATGCCTCCAGCCTGGCGAAGCTAACGGCAGCCTCCGCCACTCGCTCGATGCCCCTTGGGAGGAACACACACATCCACAGCCGCGGCAGCTGGGCACGGGGGAAGCGGGGAGTGTGGACATATTGGGGGCGAGAGCAGGGAGTGTGAGGTGCTCACATAAGCCTCTGCTGCTCTCTCGCCCTCTGACCGCTGAGAGGACCACACACGGTCACAGCCGCAGGTTTTGAGATGTCTCAAAACACACACCCAAGGCGTGGGAGCTGGGGAGTGGGGGCAGGAGGAGGAGGAGGAGGAGGAGGAGGAGGAGGAGGAGGAGGAGGAGGAGGAGGAGGAGGAGGAGGAGGAGGAGGAGGAGGAGGAGGAGGAGGCCGAAATCCCTCTTCCCCCAAGCCAACACGTCTGCACCAGCGAGATAACGTTGAAGACTAACCAAGGACGGCTGCAGATGCCTCTTAAGAATCCCAAAGGCTAAAAACGGCTCACTTGAGGCCCTTCCTGAACCGCCCTCTTTGTAGGCACCTAAATTTTGCAATATATGGGCAGCTGAGAGCTGACCTGCACCAGTGAGATGATGTAGAAGACGGTGGAGAGGCGCAGGTGGCCCCCCTGCAGAGTGTAGGTGGTGAAGATGAAGAACGCGACCATGGAGGCTGACGAGAAGTAGGAGGCCTCGTTGAACGCCTTCATCTGTGACGCCAGCTCGATGCTGGGGAGGGGGGGGAGAGGGGAAGAATAAAACGAGAATAAAAAATCTCATATAACGCCTCATTCAACGCCTCATTGGGCGGTGTGACATATGACGCGAGCTTGATGTGGGGAAGTGGGGGATGATGTGGAGGTTGGATGAGGGCCTGCTTTTTTGCGTCTGTTCCCTCATTGAACTCCTGGATGCATGACACGATGTTGGTGTTGGGAGGGAGGGGGGGATGGGGGTAGGAGGGGTGAGGACAGGGGGAGGGTGGGGAGGAGACGGGGAGAACTAGGAGATAGGGAGGAGTGGGAGAAGGTGAGGTGAGAAAAGGGGGAGAGTGAGGGGAGGCAGGGGTGGAGGAGAGGAAAAGGGTAAGGAGAGGGGGGGGATGAGATGTAGGTTCACGGAATAGAAGGTTTTAACGAAAAGCCATGTGTGCATGGAGGTGCCGCACCTATTTCCTGCCCTCTTACTTGCTGCACTCTTGCTTGCGAATTCGCTGAATGAAGCGGGTGAAAGGCGCCTCCCACGCGAACATCTTCACTGCCACAATGCCTGACAGCACCTGCCGGGATAATGCACGGCATTGGGCGAGGGTGTGGGTGTGGCAGGGGCAAGTGCCACGAGGAGTGGGAGAAGAGGAGAGGGAGGAGCGGAAGGAGAGGAGAGGGAGGAGCGGCAGAAGAGGAGAGGGAGGAGGGGAAGAAGAGGAGAGGGAGGAGGGGCAGAAGAGGAGAGGGAGGAGGGATCTGAAAATGTTTCTGGGCTTCTGTGAACTTTGATCCTACGAAAAGAAACCAGATCCCCTTCCCCTCCTTGCCTTCTTCCCTCGCGATGAGCGCCTCGCTGGTCACCCAAACCTGGGTATCTGTTCTTGAAATGCGCCACAACGGGGGTTATTCAGAGGCACAGCCGATGCTGTTTATCCCTTGGCTGGTGTATGCCCACACACATTACAAGCTCCCCTTCTTCCCCCATAGAATGGCATGCGTGTTGCGAGTTGATTCTGAACAGCCCTACCTCGCCGGTCATCTTCACCCTGGCGTCCGTGAACTCGGCTGTTCTGCGCCGCTGCTTGGCAAACAAGTGCCCAAACAGGGCCTGGTAGGGGCGAGGGGCGAACGGCAAGGGGTGGGGAGAGGGGAGAGCGGATGGGAAAGGGGAGGGGGGAGGGAGGAGAAAGCCGGGGTGATGGATAAGGGGAGAGTGTGAAGTCAGGAAAGGACAAAGCACAGCCAGAGAAAGGGGTGGGGTCGTGAGCTCAGCTGGATAACACGGTCTCGCCAATGTCTCCCACCCCCCTAAACCATGCACCGCCCCTCAACCCCAACCAACCCCCACGCCCCAACCCCCACGCCCCAACCCCCACGCGTCACACCCCATGCCCCACCTGCAGTGGAATCTGCACAAGGAGCGCAGCAATGCCGGCAAAAGCAGGCTGAACGCCCACCTCCCGCACTATGAGCGCCGCCACCACTGCCAGCTCCAGAGGGGCCTGCGTTAAGAGGAAGAGCAGGTCGGGATGAGAGGGGTGGGAGGGGTAGAGGGGGTAGAAAGGGTGGGAAGGAGTGGAGGGAATGACGCCCACTTCCAGCACTATGAGCGCCGCCACCACTGCCAGCTCGAGAAGTGCCTGTGAATGCGCGAGGGGCAGATGGGAAGAAGAGAAATACGGACGGGATGGTACATTCCCTGTGCGTCGTCACCACTGCCAGGCAAGAGGGGCAGAACGAGGAGGTGGAGTGCACGTACCGCCCAGAGGAAGTGAATGAACATGGGGAGCTCGTCCAAGCGCCGCACGTCGTTGGACATGAGCGTTATGCACTGCCCTGTGGTGATGCGGCTCAGTGCACCGCCGTTGAGTGACAGCAGCTTGCTGTTGACTGGCGGAGGGAGGAAGGGGAGGGGCGGAAGGGTTTTTCAGGTGCGTTGAAGCACGTCTTTGGATATGCGTGTGATGCAGTGCCCCGTGCTGATGCGTCCACCGCTCACTCCGCGATAGCAGCTTGCTGTTGACTAGGGTGGGGAAGGGGGATGGTAGAGTGGTGGGGAGGGGATGGGGGAGAGTAGAGTGTCGGGAGGGGGGGCAGGGCAGGGGGGGTGGAAGGGGGAGGAGCGGAAGGGGAGGTAGAGGAGGTGGTGGGGTGGCAGGAGGGCTGGGTGTTGCAATGCCCCTGTGGACCGTGGTGATTCAACTCAGTGGCCTGCCGTTCTATGCCAGCACCTTGCTGTTGACTGTTGGGAGAGGGGAGTAGGAGAGGGAAAGGGGGCTGGTAAGGGGGTTCAGAAGCCGGGAGGCCAGGGAGTAGGGGGCGAGAGAGCGTATCAGAATCCTTGAGAAATGCCCTCGCTGAGCCTCATCAAAGCAGCAGGTTCCTGATCTGGCAGTGCAGCAGTGAAAAACTCCGTGTGCCTACAATGCAGCACCATGCGTCCTCTTGTTGCAACACAAGCTCTGTACGATAAAAAGCATGGATGAAGCAGGCAAGCGCACTCACTGAGCGCCATGGAAGCGACTCTGAGATTCCACCCCATGATTTGCGCAAGGTTCCACATCTGATGGTGCAGCAGCGCGAAGGCCAGCGACAGCAGCCCCATCAGCCCCGCCAGCACATACCCCCGCCACGCAGGGTCCGCCGTTTTGGGGTTCTGCGCGTCCTGCACAAAGCACACCTGGCACGACGAATGGGGCAGAAGGGGGGGGGGGGGAGGGGGGGAGGTTAGGAGGGGGGGAAGAGGGGAGGCGGAAGGTTTGAGAAGTCTCATAATCCAAGTTTCGAGACGCCTTAAGAAATGACTGGAGGATAGACCCTCATCTCCCTTTCCTCCCCTTCCTCCTCTCCCACGATCTTTCTACCACCATAGCCTTCCAGGATCCTACCTGCATCTCTTGCTCCATCCAGCTTTCCTGTAACACCTCGCTACCCACTGGGTCAAAACGAGGGTTATATTTGAGGCGCAGCGGATGCACTCAACCCTTACGTGTAAGCTTCCTCCCCCTCCCCCTCCCCCTTCCCCCTCCAAAACCGTCCTTTGTATGAATCATGAGCGGGTACAGGCAAGCGGTCCCCCTCTCACCAGGAGGCGGAGAGGATGCGCTGAGCGGACTCCGCCACTATCAGCAGCGCCACCAGCGCCAGCCGCCACCGGAACGGCCACACACACACCGCCCAGTACCGCATCGCCCATCCCCCTCCGCTTCCCCCTCGTTTCTCCGCGCCCATCCCCCCCTTCTGCTGCCGCTCCGGGGGCGGATTGCGCTTTGTCCAGAGCGCGCTGAGCTGCGCCCCCAGGTGATGCGCGGAGAAGGCGGAAGGTAGGGGGTAAAGGTCGCTGGGGCCCAGTACCCGGCGCACGCCCTGCGCCATCAGGGGGGAGAGCTGGGGGGGCGGAGGAGGGGAGGGGGAAGGCGGGAGAGAAGGGGGAGTCGGAAGAGGAAGCGGAGGGGGGAAAAGGGTGGGGGAGGAGAATGGGGAAGAGACAAGCGAGTGATGGTCAGAATTGGGAGAAGAAAAGGAGGAGGGGGAGAAGGAGGAGGAGGAGGAGGAGGAGGAGGAGGAGGAGGAGGAGGAGGAGGAGGAGGAGGAGGAGGAGGAGGAGGAGGAGGAGGAGGAGGAGGAGGGAGGAGCGTGCCACGCGGAGCACTGAAAACCATTTGCGACTGAGTGAGGGTGGTTTGGCGGAGGGCGCCGGGGACGAGGGCGGGGTGGGCGAAGGAAGAAAAAGGGGTGGGGCGTTGTGGGGCTGGTAGTAAACAGGGGGTGGGAGGAAGGATGGTGGGGGAATTACCCATGAGAAGGTGAGAATAGAGAAGATGCTCAGTGGCGGGTCCGCTATTCCCTCTTCTTCTTCGCGCAAATCCGGTGTATCCTCCCTCATCCTAACGCCAACACCTGCGTTTGCTCCATCCTCCGCCCCATCTCCGTCACCTCCTTCTTCCCTGCGCGACCCGGGGGGAGTGGGCGGGCGAACAGGCTCAAGGTAGAAATGTTCCCCTATAGTACTCGTCTGTGATGGATTCGGGTGGGGATGACAATTCTGCTCGGAAGGATGACCGGATCCATTCGGCTTGGCTACTACACCTCGCGACAATCTATCGCATTCGCTGGCGATATTTTTCATCGCGGCGAAGCGGCACACAGGCCTACCGAAAGGTCGCGGGCCGAGTTGCGGAGTCGCAACAAGGGATGGGGGAGGCCCAATGAAGGATATGGCACGAATGACGCGATCAGGCGATGAATGACGCGCGCGAGTTACACCGATCGAACACAGTGTGGCAGGAAACTTCGTCAGCTAATACGGCGCGAGAACTTCGTCGATGTTCAAGCGTCAACGATAATGGGTAGTGGAGTACAAGAACTATCAGCTAGATTACGGAACTGGTTCTGGGCCGCAGAAATAACCATGAAAGAAGTGATGCACCACATTCTTGGTTGCTCTGGAAGATGTTTAGGCCGTGTTACAAGGGGAAAGAACTAATCGAACGCCAATGTTACCACGATCGTGATTGCATCATTCGGAATTTTGCCTCAGACACACAGCAACATCGAACACATGCTTCGTTGTTTCGTTTATGGTCGTAGTGTTTATTCGCGTGAGCGAACATCAGCGAAAGCCGTCGGAAGAGGTTTGTTTCTTCACACCTTCGGACCACGATCGGTTATAGAACTGAGGCGATCGAGCGTTCTTTCAAAAAATCTCCTCACAATGCACAAACGGCACATTAGTAACCAGATGCTACAGTATTTGACCTCATCGGAGATCGGCTTTTATGTAGGATCAAACACAAACTTGGTACGCCCTCAGTATTACAGCAATCTGGTGCTCGTTCCATTGAGGCATCACAACAAGCAGCCGCTTCATGCGGCACATTTGGCATCTGATCCGAGCCGCATGCTGTTCGAGATGTTTTCATTTTACAGTACAATGGACTTGTGCCGACAGGCAAGTCATTCATGCAATCCACTTCGAAAAAATGCTTTGATTTCTCTCGCTCCCTTGCCTGGGAAAGGGAGATTTGGGGAGGAGGGTGGGGTGGGGAAACTTTCCTGAAAAAAAATGGGAAACCCGCCGCTTGCGGCGGAAACGCTTGGTCGAACTGACTTGGCTTGGGACCAATATGCTCATTCGTGGGATAACTCTCCTTATCAAACGGACTGAGGCGAGGAATGCTGGAAAGTGTCCAGGTGGTAACAATTTTTAAAAAATCTGACGAAGTGTTACGGGTGCGGGGTTGTGTTATGAGTTGTAAAAGAGAGTGCGCATGTAAACGAATAACGAGACTGTGATTAACTCATATGAGAATACAATGAAGGCACAGACTAATGTAGGGACTAGCCTAGCTAGGAGGGAACCTCGGACGAGCGAGGTTGGGTGCAGGTTTGGCGATTGGGAAATGCCGAAGGCGACGCGAGGAGCCTCGGCAGCGTTGAAATCGGCCGAACGGGCCGAAGTCCAAAAATCGGGCTGTACGCGAAGCAGCCAACCCCGATAAGGAATTCGGGAAAATTCCTTCCACTACCCCCCCCCCCCCCCCCTTTAAGAAAGGCGGTTAATATCCGAAACACGCCTGCGTGCCAAGTAATCACCAACAAGTGACGAGGCGTTCAGTGAGTCGGAGTGCACCCACGTGCCGTCTTCACTGGTGCGATCAGTCCAACACACTAGGAAATCCACGTGGCGACCGGCTGCGTCAAGTCGAACCCGATGTGCCAAAATCTTCGAAGGGTCAAGAGTCGGCTCCGGGACAGGTCGTGTAGTTGGGGCAGCTTGTTGCCGCGCGATGTCGGTCGTGGCTGGCACGAACTTGCGAAGCAGGCTGACGTGGAAGGCGTCATGAATGCGCCAGTCGTCGGGTAGCAGCAGCTTCGCGGTGACAGGTGTCACCATATTGAGAATCTTGAATGGCCCACAAAATCGTGGTCGTAGTTTCGACGGGCCGGGCATGTGCAGGTTCTTCGTGTTAAGTAGCACTAGTTGCCCAGTGGACAAGACGAGTTCCCGGCGTAGAAGGTCGGTGTATTTGCGGGAAGTTATATTCGCCTTGCGAATTGCGTCTGCGGCTTTTTCTCGAACTTCCTGAAGCTTCGTCACAAAAGTTTGTGACCTCGGGACCGGGTTGTCGAGAGTAGTTGCCGTAGGGACTGTCGGGTCCATCCCGTAATTCAGGAAAAATGGGAGTGATTAGTCGTACTGGACGGGGTGTTGTTGAAAGCGAACTCCAACATGGCGAGTGATTCTTCCCAGCGGGCAGGGTCGGGGCAGTAGTCCCGATCAGCTGCTCCATGGTCTGATTGGTCCGCTCGGTCTGGCCGTCCGTCTGTGGATGATATGCCGATGAGAACTGTAGTTTCGTGCCGTACTGCGCCCACGTCTCCTCCCAGAATTTCGATGTAAACTTCGGGTCGCGGTCGCTGATGATCGCTGAAGGGATGCCGTGAAGTCGCACGACCGTTGAGATAAAGAGGCGCGCAGTTTCTTCGGCTGTGATTGTTGTTCGGCATGGGGCAAAGTGCGCCATCTTCGTGAAGCGATCGACGACGACGAGGACGGCGTCGTTGCCGGACGGCCCAGCTGGTATTCCCGTGACAAAATCCATTGTCACTTGCTGCCACGATTGTTTGGGTGGCTCGAGGGGTTGCAGCAGCCCAGTGTCAAACTTATATGCTATAGTCTGTGTAGGCTGTAGAAGGGTAGTTCATATGGGGTACAACACTTTAGGGTTTCCTACTTGTACTCTTCATGCTGCTGAATGCAATAATTCCTCGTTCATATTCTCACATGGTATTAGAGCAGAATCATTCCTAGGGCCCACCGAACGTTCCGCCCTGCCCTAACTGAAATTTTTTTTTTAGCAGCCCCTGCGGCCGCACTGCCCTTGCAGCACGCGTGCTGCCCCTGCTCGTCGCGGCGCCCCCTGGGCGCCATCCCTGCTCGTCACGACGCCCCCGGGGCGTCGCCCCTGCTCGTCGCGGCGTCCCCTGGGCGCCGTCCCTGCTCGTCGCGACGCCCCCGGGGCGTCGCCCCTGCTCGTCGCGACGCCCCCTAGGTGCCGTTCCTGTTCGTCGCGGCGCCCCCTGGGCGCCTTCCCTGCTCGTCGCGGCGCCCTCGGGGCGCCTTCCCTACTCGTCGCGGCGCCCCCGGGGCGTCGCCCCTGCTCGTCGCGGCGTCCCCTGGGCGCCGTCCCTGCTCGTCGCGACGCCCCCGGGGCGTCGCCCCTGCTCGTCGCGGCGCCCCCCTGGGTGCCGTTCCTGTTCGTCGCGGCGCCCCCTCGGCGCCTTCCCTGCTCGTCGCGGCGCCCCCGGGTCGCCTTCCCTACTCGTCGCGGCACCCCCGGGGCGTCGCCCCTGCTCGTCGCGGCGCCCCCCCCCTGCAGCCGCTGCCTCGGAGCCCCGCCCTGCAGCAGCTGCTGCGGAGCCCCCTGCCGCCGTAGCGGCCCCGCCCTACAGCAGCTGCCACGGAGCCGCCTGCAGCAGTCGCGGCCCCGCCCTGCAGCAGCTGCCGCGGAGCCCCCCTGCCGCCGTCGCGGCCCCGCCCTGCTGCAGCTGCCGCGGAGCCGCCTACAGCAGTCGTGGCCCCGCCCTGCAGCAGCTGCCGAGGAGCCCCCTGCCGCTGTCGCGGCCCCGGCCTGCAGCTGTCTCGACCCCGCCGTCGCCGCCGTCGTGCGCCTACCCTGCTCGCAAGGCGAGCGACTGCCCATCCCGCCACTGGTGAGCACTTGCCCTACCTGCGCTTCCCGCGCGCCTGCCTTACTAGCGCGCTGCCACACTGCCCTGCCCGTGCTGCTACTACTGTTTCTACTGCTACTGCTGCTGCTACTGCTACTCCTGCTACTGCTGCTCCTGGAGGTGGCCAGATGCAGCTCCAGCGAAGTCCGCGTGAGTCCCTCACGCCCGAGCAGCTACATGAGTGGTACGCTAGTTGGTGTTGTAGGGGTGGCCGCACTGCTACTGCTGCTACAGCTGCTACTGCTGTTACTGCTGCTACTGCTGCTACTATTGCTACTGCTGCTCCTGGCGGTGGCCGGATGCAGCTCCAGCGACGTCCGCGTGAGTCCCTCACGCCCCAGCAGCTTCGTGAGTGGTATGCTAGTTGGGGTTGTAGGGGTGACCGTGGTGGGAGTCGCCCGGGAGCGGGTCGTTCGGGAGCTTCTTGTAGTGACCAGGTGCAGCTGCAGCAGCGTCCGCGCGCGGTCCTTTCGCCCCAGCAGCTTCGTGAGTGGTACGCTCAGAGTGGAGGGTCACGGAGTATTGCTCGCTGCCCGTACGTCATTCGCACTGGTGCTCGGGCTGGTCAGCCTTGCGGGACGATTGGTCACACAGAGTCCCGCTGCTTCTCCCGTCTGAGCGACGCCTGGCGTACAGAGTTTGGCGACGCGGCTGAGCTCCCCGACTGGGTCGAGCTGCTTAGGCAGAGGGTAGATATCTTTGCTCTTGACTATGATGCTATCCTCACTGCCATGTATGCATTGCCTACTAGTGCTGAGGGTGCCTGTTACCTGTGTGTGCCGCCTGACCCAGGTATAGAGTCTGCTGCTCTAGGTGTTGGTGAGGCTGCTGCTCTAGGTGCTGGCGCGTCTCCTGCTCCAGGTGCCGGTAAGGCTGCTGCTCTAGGCGCTAGGGAGTCCACTCCTCCAGGTGCTGGTGAGTCTGCTCTCTCTGGTACTACGCCTGCTGCGGCCTTGCACACTTTCACCCTTGACTCGGGTGCTTCCCGCTCCTTCTTTCGCGACTGCACCACACTCTCGCCGCTCAGTCGGCCAGTGGCAGTCTCTCTGGCTGACCCCTCTGGGGGTCCGGTCCTTGCACACTCCTCCACGGTTTTGCCGTGTCCGGCGGTCCCGTCTGGCTCTCTGTCTGGCCTCCACCTCCCCTCGTTCT